GACGGGATCAGATTCCAGATCCCGAAACGTTGTGTATTGTTTTTTACTTTCGTGATGGAAAATGTCCGCAATAAACCTTTGAACAACATTAACTCACCATCACCAACAATGAACTTCAAACAAAGAAATCATGTATGGCTTTACTATACTCTGCTTTAACTTCAGGCTGACTTTCTAATTTTCTTTCAAGTGATAGGAATCTATTACGAGCGCAAAATGATGAGTCACCAAGAGGGGGATGATTTTCTTTTATGGGTAGCCTAACAAAGTAGCGTCCATCTGAATCCCTAGAGACCGTGTTTAGAAAGTGATTTTCACAAATTTCTTGTTCAGATGGTACATGATGTTTGATGGGAGGTTCCTCTAGAGTCCAAAATTTCTGCAAAGAATTGTGCAAATCAATATCTTGAGTACTTAATAAAGAAACATTACCCTTGCATTGAGGGGCTGTTTTGTGAGGGACTACAGCAGGAAGAGTTGGGGCAGAGCCTATGATAAGATATCCAAATAATACAGAATTCATGGCAGCAGGAAGATCCTTGTTAATGATGATGCGTTCACCAGTGATTACTTTAGCAAATAGATCAGCACCCATGAGAACATCTATCTTACTAGGCAGATGAAAAGTTGGATTCAGCCATGACCAAATGTTTGAAGTGTTCCTTAACATTAACTGGAACTTCTGAATGTGGGAGGTTTGAGGTAATTTTGTCTAGAATAAGGACTGGGTTGTTATCAGCAATCATTTCTCCGCTAAGAGACGATATGTTAACTTTTGACACACCTTTTGACTTAACTTCTACTGATGATAGGCCATCTATCTTTGAATTACTGGAAAATGTCCGTTTAAGCATAAGCAGGTTAGCAATATTTTCTGTTACGCAGCTTACCATAGATGCGGAGTCAATAACGGCTCGGGCTACAACTGTATTACCGTTATTAGCTTTCAAGTGTACCAATGCAGTGGCTAGCAATATAGTAGTATTAGGGTTGGAGGAGACAGCTACAAAGGGAGGTTCAGGGTGATCATATGTTTTATTCATTTCCTTGGCGTTGGAGCATTACCTTTAGGCTTTTGGTTAAGATTATCATTAGGCCTATTATTAGTTTGGTGTAAGAGGGAGTGATGTTTCAGTTTACAGTGAAAACATGATTTATTTGACTTACAGTCTTTGACAGAATGAGCGGTACCTAAGCAGTTCAAACAGAGGTGGTTTTTCCTCACAAAATTGTATCTCTCCTGTACAGAAAAATCTTTGAATTCTGAGCATTGGTAAATGTTGTGATCACTTTTACTACAAAATGTGCATGTGGCGTTTGAGTCTCTGAAAGCTAGTAAAGTAGTGCGGTTTGGGTTCGGTGTAGATTTATGTAGGCCTATGTGAGAGGAGTGAGGGCTGGACCTCTTACTATTTTGAGCGAAACCTACATTGCTTGAAGTAGTTCTAGGGAACTGAGAGTTAGAGAGGTTAGCAGCTTCTAAGTAAGCACATTCATTCTCTAAAAATGTTATTACTTCACCTACGGTTGGTAGGTCTTGAGAATTAACTCGTAAGCTTTCAAACTTTTTGCGAATGTCTGCGTGTAACTTCCGTAGTAACATGGCTGAGAGCAAGATGTTAACCTTGGCTATGTCATGATGAGTGCAATGAGTGCTTGGGCATTTTCGTTATATTGAGAAATGAACGAGCGAATGTTCTTGAGGGAGGAGTCAGTTAGGTTAGGTAAGTCTTTTATGTTGTTGAGGTGTATACTTATGATTTTCCTACTGTTTTGATACCGTTTTTGAAGAAGATCCCATGCTACATCATAGTTTTCAGCTGTGATTGGTAAATTCTTTATCAGATTGAAAGGTTCTCCCTGTTGAGTAGAAAGCATCAACTTTAGATATGTTTTCATTATCATGAACAGATACTTGAAACAGGCTAACATAAGATAACCATTGTTCCGGTGAACCATTAAAAGTTTTGAGAGATAGAGGAGGGAGTTTTAGAGAGGTGGCTATCTTGGTTTGAGGAAGAGCTACTAGGCCTATGTGGTAGGCTACTTGATGGAGTATTTGTTATTGAGTCAGTGTTTAGAACAGGCCTATGACTTGTAGGATCTTGAGAAAGGTGTTTCTTCGTGAGAGTTTGAATTTCTACATATAAGTCAGATATAGTATCTTGTAATTGAAAGAGTGTATCTTCTTCATAATCATCGGGAAGCGTGTCACTATTGAATAGTTTCGCAAGGGAGGTTTCAAATTCGGAATATTTTCTTAGTGTTTCTGAATCGAAAAGTTTCAACTTATTTATTTTGTTCATGGGACTAATCAGGTAATAAATCTAAAGCTTGGATGTTAGTTTGGATTTTGGCTAAACGATTCGCAATTGAGTTTAATTTCCTAGAGAGGGTGACGAATTTCATTTTTGTTGAACAACAAAACAATTATTCTGAGTATTCAGAGAGAGAAAAAGATTAGAGATCGTCATTATCGTCTGCAATACGAGACACAGATGACAGATGGCATTGTTACATTAGCGCTATTATTGGTGGCTCTGAGCATTACAAAATACCAAATTGTACAGTTTGATACAAATTGAAATGTCAAATATGGACCTTTTAGATCTACAGTAGTCTCGGTAGTCTTCTTACTTCTTAGTGATGATAGCGGAGTGAAGAGTCTATTTTAAGGTTTGCAAGTTAGAGTTAGAGTAGAACTAATTGTGACTTATAGTTACCAAAAGAGCTGAATTTCAGACGATCTGCGGCCGAAGGACCATGTAGAATTTCGGTTGCGTGTAGAGTGGATTGAGTGGACTGTATTATTTGTTGCATAAGCGGAGTTTGATTCTTCAAATTAGAACACTGAGATACAATTGACAAATGGTTTTAATATTAACAAATAAACTTTGAGTAATTTTACAGAGCTAAAAAAGAAATTAACATTACAAAAGAGAGAGAGGGATTTCCATTTCTTGATGTTTTTTTTTAACTAACAAAATTACTATTAATTTAGTTCATTGTTAAATCACATGTTTTAAACATTAAAACAAGTTAAATTCAATGCCATCTGTATTTATTTTTAGATAAAAGAAAGAAAGCATTATTATAACAAAGTTAATTATACTGAATATTACAGAACAATCATTAAACTCCATTTACATTGTACTTTTACCGAAAAATTTTTGTAACACTGATGACCAGCCACCCTGTATATATATATCCAGGGTTCCCCACGTAAGGTGTCTCAAATTGATTACATAAAAACAGCTTTAAGTACAAGAATGAAATAAAATTATTTCCCACTAAATCAACCCTCAAGGTATAACGTAATAGTAGTTTACGCAACGATTGCGTTAAGTGAGTCTTTACGACACGAGTAGAAAGGCTCGTGCCTTAAAAACTTCTACGAGTGTCGTAAAGACTATTAACTCGAGTTGCGTACACTACGTTACCTACAACTGTTTTTTAATTACTATCAATCTGGATTTAATTACTAACAATCACTACTGATAACCTTTTTAGAGAGGTTATATTTTCGTGTATTGTCATTGCCACTGAAAGTGATGCAACGACTTGTTGTATAATCAGCTGATTTCCTGTAATTACGTGTTTGTTAAACTTCGTTAAATATTACATTGCTAGCAGCATTCTTACCATAAATAATATTGTATCAGGTACAATTCGGCAAATATTTCATTCATTTTTGGACTTCCACCAACTTAATTAAGAATACGCGAGTATCAACATGAACAAGTCGGATCAACAATTAAATTGGTCAACTGATCAGCTGATCAGCTGATTAGTTGACATTCGAAGCATTACAATTTTAATTCTTTTCTCTCAATACTTGAACCTCATTGGTCCGTTACCTGTGTTGATATGAGAAAAACTATGCTGATATGAAATGAAACAATGCTGATATGAAAGTAAACAGCTGTAAAGTGAAACTTTTCAATTCTAAGAACTGGACTGAAATGGCTACTTTAAAAAACGGTCGTAGGTAAAAATATTTTATATAACATTATGAGAATGAAAGCTAGGCTCGGCTTGATTTTATCTGACTTGGACCTTAGTCACTGAAGTTTTTAGACTATACTCAGCTCGGCGCTAATAACAGAAATTCATGGGAGTGAAAGTTAAGGTAGACACAAGAGAAACAATCGGAATCGAAAGTACAAATATTTACTGGAAATCCACTCAAGTGTTTTTTCCCCAAGAGTAAAAAAGTACAAAAAATTAGACAAGTTGATATCAGACTGTACAGTTTCCAATGCATCACAGAATATTGTACAATATGGAGGCAACAAAACATAGTTAAGTATTTTGTTATACAATTATTACTAACAATAACAAAGCACAAGAGTAGAATTGCATATAATTTCAAAAATAAATAAGAAATAAGCTTATATACAATGAAAATAAAATACATTTATACACAAATATCAACTTATAACCTTAAAGTACTTGAGGTTTAAGGCATAGGTTTTAAGTTGCAATAAATTTACAATTGAATTTGAAATTTGTGTACATTAGAGGTTTTGTACACAATAAAAATGATAAACTAACAATAAATTACACAGACATAAGCTAATAAATCTCATTGTGGCATAGAAAAATAGCATTACATTAGCTAAATAGTAAAACCAAAAAGAGCACAAAAATTACACCATCAATACCACTGTAGAAAAATCTCAGTAGTCCAAATAAATGAATGAAACATTTCAAAAAGGCCTTAAGACTATACGTACATTTATACTCGAATATACCGAATTTTGATAGTTAGCTTACTTTAAATAACAGTAATATAACTTGGAACATCAAATTTGGAAAATTACAATGTTTTTAAGGCAGTATTGAGTACAAAATTAGCAGCTTGTTTCTTAAAATTTGGATGAATCACATTTTTCTTTTACAAAACTAACCATTTAGAACTACTTCACTTATAAGAAAATACTAGGCCTATCAGAATAGTTCCAGTCCTATATTTTACACTCGTTACAATGCCCTCTGTATCATAGCCTGCGTCGTGTGTTTGGCTGTTGAGATTTAACAGGAGATGACAGTCCCAGCTGACTGCTAAGCTGTTTGACAGCCTTACCTAGAATAACAATAAGGATTTGCTGCTTTAGTCAATCTACAATAGAGAATTTCAACTGCACGCTTAAAACTTGTGCCATGGCTATGTACATTTTGCCATTCCAACAAGAATTCAGATTTACTTCCGAACCAGTAGAACATAAAACATATAAACTGAAGACCGTTAATATTTTTTCATAAAAATAAACCTTACGGGCTCTGTATCGTCAGCAGAAGCTTCCATACCAATAAAACATCATGTACTCCAGCTGAATTTCCCCATTAACATATGCCATACAGTAAACTACTTGCCTAGAGATGTGACAGCAGACAACGCCTCGTGTTTGTCCTCTATGTTGACTAGCTGCTCTAGAGCCATGATCCTACTTCTTAAACTGTCAACCTCCTGCTCTATACACGGTTTCTTGTTGTTTTGTGGAACTGGACATAAAAATGAATAAGATTGAAATCATAGGAGACAGAATGCAAGTGGGTAATAACATGCAAAACTGTATATTACACAAGCCTATCTATGACAATTCCTTGAATGAATTGGATAAAAAACATGTTTGTTTGAAATTGCATATGCATTTACTACAGTATTTGACGATTCTCGGCAGGGACTCTACTAGAGGTTATGGAACACTCCTAGGTTATGGTTGGAGGCGAACCAGAGGTCCTGCCCAATTGATTTAGGTTGTTTATGAACCTAAAAACATCACTTTTAAATGCTGGATTTGTGGATTTAAAAATTCCTACAAGAGGTATGCGAGTCTTAGTTTTGCACTATTTGATCCATCTCCAGCTATTTTGATAACCTTGTGATCATTTACAGTGCTTGTGGAGACTTCATCCTTGTTTCCCGCAATCGCTGTGACAATGTATATTTTCAATCCCACCATCTTCGCAGACACTTTCTGTGTTCGCTATAACATTACGAGAATGAAAGCTAGGCTCGGCTTGATTTTATCTGACTTGGACCTTAGTCACTGAAGTTTTTAGACTATACTCAGCTCGGCTTGACAATCTATAATTTAGTTTCTATAATTTACATCTAAATTATCTAAATTATTATTATTGATATTGTGACTTTCGTATACCAATCTCATCGAATTTTCTATTTTCCACTCTTGTAGGCTAGCACCCAGAACAGTCTCACTCTCCTTGCTAAGCCATCTGTCAATTGATGAGCCAGCTGTCAACTGATCAATTCCTAGATTGAGCTAATGAAGAAAAACAATTTGATGTTTGGTTAGCTCTTTCTTTCTATACCAAGCTTTGTAACCTGAAAAGAAATTAATTTTGAAACATGTTATCTTATCTAGAGGAACGGTCAGTGTCTTACCTGGTTCGAGAGGAAGTGGTTTAGGGTCTTGTGAGTTCTGCATCCATGTGGCACTATGAAATAGTTTGTGCCCTCTGGTCTTTGACTGAAATACACCGCCTTAATGTTAATAAATCGTCTTAGAATTATGTGTTTTGATACGGTTGTGGTGTCAATTTAATTTAGCCACAGCTGCTATTAGATGTTTACTTTATGTTAATATTTAGTATGCTACAACTCAAAAATATTTTTATTTTGTTTATGTCATGATTTACCACAGTTCTTTATTTGTTTGTTAATCAAATAAAATACCCATGCATTAATAGTGGTGAAATTATTTATAGAATTAAACATTACTTTATATTGGTGACCCCGAACGACGACAACAAGAACGACATTCCTTCCTCAATATTACCAATGTTGCTAGAAGAAATGGAAGCTTAATTGATGAATCTACGAGAGCAACAAAATGAACTCTCCACCAACATTCAGCAATGCAACAATTCTGATAATGTATCTGTTCATCGAGTTGCAGTCAACCATTCTGAGCCGATCGACCTAGTCTATGGTTTGCTCAGGTAGGTTCCCAGTTCGCTGTCTCAGGCATCACGAGCGATGCCACTTGGTTCCACTACGTCGTTTCTCAGCTTGAAATACGTTATGCAGTGGAGGAATTAAAAATCCACCAGCATGGAATCTTTACGCAGTACTTTGTTTGAAACTATTTGAGAGGCTGTCTACTAGTAAAGAACAACGCATTCCGCAGTTAATGACTGACGAGGAGTTGGAGATCGCAAGCCATCGCAGTTCTTCCATTGTCTAGGTACTAGAGTGTCTAGTTTGTTTCCATTTTAAAATTCAAGACTAATTCTAGATTTTTTAAGACTAGTTTTTTCAACAATTTAGTGAGTGTCGATACCAAAATGTATCAATTCTCAATACTGATACCAATTTTTATAGTTTAATCAAATTTTCTAAATAATTTGGTTATACTACACACACCCCTGTCTTTATGCCATAAAATATTGTTATGATAATATGGTGTTTTCAAGTTAAGACAAAATGCAACAATGAACAATTCTAATTAGCCAATTAGGGGTTTTATTTTATTATGAAATCTTCCACTTACACCATCACTGACTGCCGCGGTAACGGTAACGTCATCCGCGATCGTGGCAAAATTATTAACATTTCCCGCTGCCGTGTAGACATCATCGTCTCTCGCGGTCACGAAAACGTCATTGTCGTCGTCCACAATTGCGGCAAAATCATGAAAATTTCCCGCGATTCCGGAAAAGTCATCATCTTCGTCCGAAATCGCAGCAAAATCATGAACATTTCCTACAGCCGTTTCCCAGACATCATCGTCGTTTCCCGCGATACCAGAAACATCATCGTCCGCGATCAAAGCAAAATCGTGAACATCTCCTGCGGCCAAGTAGACATCATCATCATTGACTTTCGCAGTCACACATATGTGATCGTCGTCTTGCGCAATCATGGCAAAATCATGAAAATTTCCAACTTTGATATCAAAATAATCCCGACTTTTTAAGACCATTTTGAAATTCAATACTAATTCCCGACTTTCCCGTTTATCCCGACTACTAGACACCCTGACGTACTCTGATCAGTCCAGCCTATTTCTACAGGACAACATCCTTCGAGAACTGTCCATCACTTAACACAGTCTTCTACAGGGTATTAAAAAAAATCATAATTTTCTGTTACCAGGCAAAATAAGGCAAAGCAAATCAGGGCATAATTTTGCCTTATTTTGCGACTAACAATTGTGATATTTCAACTATTTATATAATTAAATCTGATTGAACTTAGTGTTGTTTGATAGAAAATTTTAAATTCTTAACAAAACATGTTCTGGACATTTTTTCATAAAATCAGTAAATTTGTAGTTATATAAATTATAAAATGTAAATGTCTCCCATTTCAAAATTCCAAATGATCTAGTTAGTTTTTTCAACATACTTCTATCTTATATTACTAACCATGTTATTACCATGTTTCATAAAGATCTGTTGGAAAAATTTAAGGATAAAAATGTTTAGGTAACAAATACAAAATGGAAGATTGGTTAACACAAATGTCTATCACACTTAGTAGGCCTACAGATAAAACATTTTCACTCCACCATTTGGTTAGCCATGGCTACTGTGATGATGTTATCACCATTATATATTTTCACTGGTCACTCACCAGGATTGTATCCTTCATCTCTCGTAGCCAACCCAGAAACACATCCTGAGGCCAACGGACAGAACTCATCGTCCTCTGATCCCACACTCGGACATTGACGTCAAACCAGCTGTGAGTCGTCACTTCCGGCTCCAGCTGAAACACCTGCGATGGGAAATACTAGTCAATACTGCAACAATACTGTTACTTTTGTCACCTATTACTTAATCTTCCAGTACTTTTCAGCTAGTCATTCTAACGCAGGGTTACTTTTACCTGTTATACTGGTTATCAGTTGTTCCTCAGCAAGACTTACAGTTATTATTTAAAGATGCTCGCTGTTTATGGGAAGATACTATCGGCGTTATTCCTGGGATAACTTTTTTTGAAATACCAGCAGCATCCGTAAGTACCTGTTTTTAAGTTTTTGACTCTTTGAGTTGTGATATTTGTTTGACTTGCATGTGTAATTAGACCTTGCATCTTTTATTGTGAACTGTGTCTGTAGCATTGTGAATATAGTACAAATTACTTATTTATTTATTATTAATTTACGTATTTAATTATTTCTTGTAGAACTGTTCAGAATTTGGTAGAAGCATGTTGATTGGATCTGTAGAGCTTTGTGTTTTTTCCTACAGAATGTGTAACTTAACTGACGATTCCAAATGCATGTATTGTTCAAAGGAAAATAAATACAGTAGACTCCCTCTAGTTCGGCCACCTCGGGACCGGACCACTGGCCGGACTACAAAACGGCCAGACTAACCGGAGGTAGTGCATTTTACATAAACAAAATACAAATAATATTGTTGCGCAATTGTGATATGTTAAGTCATTAACCTTGGTTCAGTAATCAAAACTATAACGTTTAAAATCACACTTACTTAAGCAAAACAAAAATTACACAACACTGTACGTACAGCAATAAATCACGTAAAGAACAGAACAATAGACAGTCTAGTACTGCAAGCTACTACTAGGCCTACCGTAGTCAGCATAGGCCACTACTACATATTGTTTCAGAACATTAAGAATGTCGATAAAAACATTATATAGGCCTAACTCATAAAATCATAGTACATAGTCATAAAGATAATAACAACAGTCGTAAAATAGGATAAAGATAGAAATGGATGATGTAAAACACTACTTATTCTTTCTTCTTTGTTCTTCTATTCTTTCTTTGGTTTCTCTTCATCAACACATTAAACTAGTTGCCATGGTTACTAATCACCCAATCACAAACTGTTGTGAGATAGCAAGCGCACATCAGACATCAGTTGTGTAAAGAGCAAGAGCAGATGATTGTCAGTGCAAGCGGATAGCTTGACCTTGAAGCTAACGATGGCTATTTCTTTGTTTTGTTTTAATTTATTTTTGTCAAATAAACCGTGGTGTTTCAAAAACAATAATGGGGGAACCTACCACATAAAAAAATGGTCCGAAGTATTTAATATACACTGCATTACAACATATTAAACTGAAGAAAAACTATTTATAAAAATGTTCTTGGTATTTTTGAGGTTATGTAACATAGTTTTACGTAGGTAATATGCAATAATTCACCCATAGAAGCACCCGTCAACTAAACTGACATGAATTGTTTACTACTATGGCCGGAAACTAAACATTCAAGTTGAATCCTGTCGAAGGTCATTCGCCCGTGACGATATAACTTGTCCTCCTGAGACCGGGCCGGACCATCCGGCGGCCGATCCAACCGAAGCCGAACTAGAGGGAGTCTACTGTATTCTTATTCTTATTTTGCAACTTCTCCTGCCTAGTAGTAAGGCATCTTGAGATCAAGCTATTTTTTTCAGTGCTTCTTTATCTTTAATTCTTCTCATTTCTATTGCAATCTTGTTGAATAATTTTGCACGGTTGTGTGTTATTGGAGATAAACTCATTAGTCATTACACATGAATATTGGTACGTTACAGTTTTCACAAATTAATCGAGTTATCACGTTCACAGATGCAAACAAGCAGTATATACAAATTTTAACAAATGGAATATTTAGTCCCAGGTCTAGGTCTTACCATGCCACATACGGTAATAGCTTATTCCTTATATGAGAAGTTTGATGAAAGGGCTTTTGACACAAAGTAAAATTTACACAAATCGAATAAGTCATAATTTCCGATGACTTTAAAAGTGTTAACTCAAAGATTATGGAAATACTCACGATGTACATAACTAACATTTCATTATAATCAACATTTATTGTAAATATTTTGTATAATTTTTCAATAGCTGATCTGGTTTTTTAGCGTTTTCTACAAATGTTTCCCACTCATAGCCGTTTGTTCATAATAACAATTATAAATAATTTAAAAAACCCCTATTGTTTCTATAGTTTCAAAAATGTAAGGTCAGTTTGCAAATTTACACACCTAGACAAACATTTTGGTATATAATATGTGGGGTTAAATCTTAAAACAAAAAAGCCTTAGGGGATATTGTTCAAAAAGTGTAATTTAGCGTATATTAATAACAGGATGTCCACAGAAAATTTTTCATTAATTTCCACGACTTTCCATGACTATCCATGACCATTTACCATTGATTTTCATGACTCACGAACTTTACTCGATAATTATAATATAACATACACACACGAATAATACTGCCTGGAAAAGTTATTTCACAGAAATACTGAAATATGTATTAACAGATGAAAATGGAGTACAATTAGGCACAACAATGAACTAATACAAACTCAAAACTCATAAACTAATTCAACTATAATAAATTGAATTGTCATACATTTGTTAAAATTCTTACTCTAGTTGGGGTTACGGCTGACTAGAGCATTGAAAAGTCCCCTCAAATCCATCCATCATTGGGGATTTCTATGACTTTCAATGACCACAATTTTTTCCATGCCTTTCCATGACTATCCCTGACTTTCCAAAATGTGGACACCCTGAATAATATAAATTAAACCAATCATAGCTTTAAAATTACCCAAGGTATTTTGAGTCTGGAACAAATGTCCTCAGCATCTTTGAGTGACTGATGAATCTCTTCTGCCTTCAGCACAAAGCTGCATCTTGCACTTCGATTCTAAAAAAAAATTGTATAAAAAAGTTAGATTCATCCTACATTTTATAATAGCTAGATCAGTATGAAAAATTAGCTTTAATGTTTTTGTAAAGTTAGAGTGGATAATATTCAGTTAATTTAGATTATAAGTCATTTTATAACTAGTTTTCCCGTTAAAAACATTCATAATGGAATACAAATAATGAATGTTTAGCTACAAATGCAGTCACCACTCATGCTTAACAATGATAAATTTACCATATTAAATGAATTCATATTCTACATAAGTTACCGAGCTACATTCAGGTTTTGTATCGTCTAGAAATAAAATTATCACAACATGATTTATATTTTGGAACACACTGAACACTGGTTATGTTTCTTCAATAGAGGGATGGGATAGTGAAACGGTTGAAGCTTATGTTTGTTTTAATTCACAACAGGTTATAATCATCGAGTACCAGGGGACCGAGCATTGCTCTTGGTGTTTGTAGGAGATATTAAAAATATAAAAATAGGCCTACATATGTACAGTTTCCATCATATTATAAAATACAGTCTTAAATTATGTATAAAATAAAACAAATTATATAACATCATTTTATCATGCTCACGTATTGGTGCTATTTGCGCAACATTTTGTGCATGGCCCTGTCGTCTCAAGTCATTGAAAATCATTGTAGGCCTAAATAAACTCGCATTACTGACACAGTAAAAAATTCTAAAATAAAAATTCTGCAATTAAAATTAGTATCATTACAGTATTGTCATTTTTAAATCTGGGCCATTGTATAAGAATTAATGTTATATAATAGTTATCACATTTTAAGTTTATTGGCCTATATTTGACAAAGGTATCCCTGGGATCGTCAAACAACCGCCCATTCTGGTGGTGCATCGTCATAAACTAAAGAACGTCCTTGGGTATACCTCAATACTTTTGTTTAGCATTAGTGTATTATTTTGTGTGGTATAGTATTCTATGACTTTGAACAGTCGTAAAATTATCCCATTGTTTAGTGAAAAGTGTATTATATTTAACCAATGCTAAATGGTATTTAGGGGAATGTCCTTTTCTTTTGAACTTTATTTAGTAATTTGCCACTGTACTGTAGATGGTTTGAAACAAGCATATGTTTCAATTCATGTATTTACATTTTTGTAAAACTGTCATTGGTACCTAGCTTTCCATAAGACCAATGTTAAATATATTGAAATTTCATTTAAAGTTTTTAACGAAAAACAAATTTGTTCAGAACAGTGGCTAACATGAATATTGTTTTTAGCCTGTAACTAAGAGATATTCCTAACAATTTAGAGGAAATCGTAGGAGCCGTTTTTGAAATCATTATCCGCAAACGTTACTCGTATTATAGTATAGATTACTGGTTACTGCTAAGCACATCAAAAAGAATTTTAAAAGAAAGAATCAGTTGATCATAATACAATGGCCGTCTGTAAATTAAGGTCTTCATCAAGCTCCCATCAGGGCTAGTTCCAAATTGAGGACAACGTTGTGTTCCTTACTTCATTCACTACTATTTTAGCCGACGATTACTCTCAGAGTATTTGAAAACGCAGAAAGTTGATGCTACTGCAAAGTATGAATTATATTCTGTTCTGTGATTTGATTTCTGTAGGAAAGGGGTCGACCACTTTTGCTGGGCAGTGGGTGTTTATCAGTTTGAAACGAGACAGTGAATGAATTCGAGGAAACTTTGCTTGCTGATCGGTGTGTTTAAGATTACCAGGCATCGTGATCCGAATGCAGAATCACTGCTTCAAGATAAATTAATGACAGCAGTCGGCCAACATGATGGAAAACAGTGTGCAAATTTTTAAGACCACCTAAAATCTCCCTCCACAAGCCAAAAACCTAATCAATGAAGTAATGTCAAACAGAGTTATAATTACTTACAGACTTCGAATGCTGAGCAATAGAACGTCTAATCACTTTACTTGGTGTCTCCCAATTCTCTTTATCATCTTCAATTTGACTGGAACTCTGTTGTATAGGACAAATTAAAAACTTAAACTAAATCAAAACCTTGATGAGAATAATCAAATTAATTTAAGAAAAAAACAGAAAATAATGAATTGAAATTGATATTTCCATGCTATTCCAAATCAACATGCATGCTATTACATCAACATCGACACCCGACAATCGTGTTCATAGCATATTCCCAAAACATTGAAATGCATAGCAGCTAGCAGCCAGATGTGCATGCTCAAGACCCATTGTTTTTATCTAAGAAAAATCCCATAATGTTATTTCAACATGTGTGTAAACTTACCACTCTTTGTAATCTTATGCTACGCAATCACTTTTTTCAGAAAGCACATGCCACCAACCCATGGTTCTAAAGCCCTTGGCAATAATATGATAAAAAAATACCAAGGGCATATATTATAAAATGAAGCTAAAATGCTTAAAGAGCTATAAAAGGTGCTAATAACTCAAAAACTTGAATAACGGTCTAACACTTATACCTCCTTCTCATACAGAAATTTTTGTCCGCATAAGTGTTTTGAAATTGAAAAAGAAGACAACTTAAATAAAATAACACCATGGAAAAATTCTATGAAATATTTTATTTTAATTCCTTGAATTATGCTTGACAACACAGAGAAAAGTAATTTGTCTCAACAGACTTGCATGGGAACTAACAGCAACAACAAATCGTACCTTTGAGAGAGCAAGTTTCCGATCTTGCTGGGACAGCTGTTCTTGTAGTTGAGTACACAGGGACTCACTTGACTCTTTCGCCCTGAGAAACAAAACAAACACTTGTCAATATGGTGTTTTAGAATTTAATACACTTAATTTGAAGCCTAACGATTGGTCAACCCTTTTTATTTAATTATTTCCCTCCTAAAATGTTTATTTTCTGTGCATCTTTTCTCTGACTGAAATATACCATCGAAGAGACACAGAGTAAAATATAGAGTAATACAGTATATGGTTTGGAATGATATTAATTTAATCTTAGGTTTTACTTTCTATAGGAACGCAGTAATAGCATTACAAACTCTGTAGTTTATCACAAATGAGTAGGATTTACATTAGATAAACTAGATGGGACAACAAAACTTTTTCAAAGAAAATTCTCAAGAAAATTTTCAAATTGACAAACCCCTAATAGACTGCCTCCATGGGATTGTTTGGTTAAAATGCTGTACTATACACCACATTGTTGACTAGAGTGTGCATAAATTGTGTCCCTGCACTAGTTTATTACTAGATTACTACTTATGAATCATAGTGCAAGCAGATACGGGATTATCTATCCGGATTTACTTTCAATTGTAACTTCTGTTGTAATACTAGACTCTAAGTCTTAAGGTATGTGCAAAGAGAGTTATATGAGACGAGAAGTGTTCAGCAACTTACCTCACAGAAGCTCTAAGTTGATTTTTCACCTCTAAAAGTTCTTTTGTGAGAGAAATGACCTGTTGCTCCATAGACGATATCCGTTTTTCATCCTCAACTTTCTTCTTTTTCAATTTTGAATTCTCATCTTTCACAGATCTCAGCTGGCTTTCTAAGTACACTACATCTTGATAACTGTGTTTAATATTCTTCTTATCCTCTAATTCACCCTTCAAAGCAGATAATTCATCTTCTAAACTTTGGATTGTTTCGACGTACTGATTGACTTCTTCTTTGTGCGTTTTTATCAGCTTGTCTTTTTCATCAATGTACTGGCTGATTTCTGCCTCGTGTTTTCTTGTGAGATTGCTGTTCTCATCAGCATACTTTTCAACTGCGTAGAACAGACCGTCAATTTTCTCCTTATACTTATTGTGGTCTGATTGAGCTACCGACTGCAAAGTTCGCACTTCCTTCTCAAGTTCACTGATGCGGTTTTCACATTGAATGTGGACATTCATCGATCTTGCAACAGCAACGGCCTTTCTCAAAGTGTCTAATTTCTCTTCACATTCAGTATGGCTTGCTGTCTTAGACAATTGCATGAGCTCTTTCTTCAAGGAAAGGATTTCTTTGTGGCTTCTTTCCTTGACTGTTTCTAGCTTGGAATTTTCTTCTTTAAATTTGATAATTTCATCTTGTAAGTCTGATAAAATTTTTTCTGATTCCGTCAAAGAGCTTTTCAATTTTTCAATTACTTTATCACATTTTCCATGGTCAGCAAACTGTTTTAATTCGTTTATTGTTTCCTTCAAAGTGCTGATTTCTTTTTCACAACCTTCATGATTGGATTGAGTTGTCATTTCGGTACATTTTTTCTCTAAAGTTTGAGATATTTCCTGATATTGACGAGTAAACCTTTCTGCCTCACACAGGGCTGTCTGCAACATCAGTATTTGGCTGTCACAATGGTTATGATTGAAGTTATTCTTTATTTCTAACATATTGTTTTTCATCTCACTAATGTCTCTTTCATAATTATGATTTTTCTCCGAGCATTCACAAAGATCTTCTTTCAGTTTATTGGTCTCAGCTTTTAGCTGCTTATTTTCCTTTTGATTCTCTTCCAACTCATTCTCAAGCCGACATAATTCTTCTTTGTTACGGTTGTACCTTTCATTTAAATCTTCCAATGTGCCTTTCAACTGCCTTATTTGTATCTCATATTCATACTTATCTTCATTTACCTCCGAACAATCTTTTTTCAATTCCTTGATTTCTCTGTCTAATTTCTTGTTACGATTTTCAGTCAGAGCTAACTCATTTTCCAAATCTTGAATCTTCTGATTACAATATTCGTGAAAGTCAATGACTTTAGTTTTTTCCCATTCCTTTTCCAATTTTAAAATTTCTTTCTCACTTTGATCACAGAAGATTTTAGCTTTGGCCAGTTCTTTAGTAGTCCGATCGAGATGTTCTTGAAGTGTAAGTAGTTTTTGATCACATTCTTTATGATCTACTGACCGATTATCTTCTTTCAACCTTTGAACTTCCTGTTTTAGTTCTCTGAAACAAACAAGATTTCCAACATTAAGTCATTGGGGCAAAGACAAGACACAAGGACAAGATACAAAGAATCAAACTGAAATTTATCTGTGTAATCACAAGTGACTGTTTGTTCTCACCTGATCATTCTCTCGTGAGGTCGCTCATTTATACGAACAGTGTTGACAATGCTACGTGCTTGACAGGCATACCTCAGTGTTGACAATGTTTCATCTACATACTGACTGCTCGGACTGATGGTGGCCAACATGGCTGTGTGAGAGTTGCCACCCAGACTTTCCTGTCACAACAAAACCAATCAAATAGTATAATACAACATTGTGCAACTAAATACAGTTGGGTACCAAACACAGTAGACATGTGCTGAACTCAGGCCAAATGTTAATGTTCAGATTATGAGTGATGACATTTACTTTTCTAAATGGTCTAAAAACTACTCAACTGTAGTTTAGAAATTTGTCAGTAGGTGTCACGACTAAGGGTGGGTTGTAAATCGTTAGAAAAAATATTCATAAAACAAACAAAATTAGTAAAAATCCATTGGCATTACGCTAATACTCTGTTTGTAACAATCATATCTAATACTTGTAATTAGAGTAAAATATTATGTTTTTACTTTATACTGATAGAGGTGCCATATATGGCAACCACAGAACATAGTAGTTTTCGATTACTTTTAGGATGCTATGATCAAAAGAGCCATAAATAAACAGTCACTAGATAAAGTCTCCTCTCTGCTACCTTATCACTCCCAGCATCACTCCCACTGATAACAGGCTAAACTTATCAGTAATCAGTCCCACAGCTCATACATGGCAATTGCAAGATAAGAAATCTTCAAAGGTCAAATTAGGTCTTTTCATAGTTTATCCCAAGATTATTTTTGAAATTTGTGTTTGAGCAAAATTGGGGAGTTTATGAGACAACCCCATACGATTTTAGGTCTGGTTTTACCATGTATGCAATTAACAATAATTTAATCTACAGTATTTCTTATCACTAGTGTACTTGTTGCTCGAATTCCAGCAATTGCGAGGTATTACAGGTGTTAATTTAAAACGAATAACAGTCATAATTTTAGATGACTTTAAAAGAGTTGACTCAATGGTTATGGAAATACTCACGATGTGCATAACAGTTCAATATAATCAACATTTATTGTAAATATACTATCATTTTTAAAAAGCTGATCTTGTTTTTTAGTGTTTTCTACAAATGTTCCACACTCACAGCCGCATTAGGTTGTCCATAATAACGATTATAAATTCTAAAAAAAATAACATCATTTTTATTTCTTCTACTTGGTGGTGTTCTATGACATTCACATATTTCCATAGTTTGCAAATCGGCTTTTTCAATGATTGCTGAAGAAATGCAGCACAGAACCGGTATATCAAATTGTCCAGGCTCTCTCGCTTTTTTCCATTCTAATATTTACGCCAACCCAAAATTAAATAGTACATATTTCACTTCAACCAAGCCGGCAAATGTTTTAAACTAAAATATTAACAGCAATTAAATTATCCAGCTAATCATAATGTAAACAAATATGTTATTCATAAGGATAAGGGAACTTTAAAAGCCACTAGGGCAGAGCCTTATTGTTTCCAAAGTTTCATGTAGCGTATTAATAAATAATAATATTTTATAAATAATAATACAATTTTGTTTTAAGATTTCACCCCACATACTATATACAAAAGTGTTCGTCTAGGTGTGTAGATTTGCAAAATGACCTTACATTTTTGAAAAAGTCCTTGGGCTCTATTTATTTATATTTACTCTTATTAATCCATTCACCAATCTCAGTCGGTACCGAATAGCGTAGTAGTTGTAGTGAGTGGGCCAGGAATCTACCCCACGGCCGAGTCATAAATGCTTGCTTATCTCTGCCACGGCCGCCATGCGTCTGCTGTGGGATTTTATCCCAAAAGCGGGATATTACAGCTGAATCCGGGAAAATATTGGACGAGTGGGGTTGTTTAACTTCGTAGTTTAACATAACAAATTGTACAGAAAGATCAACAATGCCACCCGGAGTGTTTCTAAAGTGATACAAGTAAGTGTGTCATTTCAAGATCATTTTGGTTTTTATTTTTCAAACCCGTGTATGAAAATCATAAGGTCATAAGGATGTAACAATGTCGAAGCCTTAAAATTTCAATCTCGTCTATTTGTTGCTGTGAGAAATCTGATATTACATGTTTATCGATTTGACAGAATTTATATTATCAGCGTAGGCTGCCTCTCAAGAGCAAGTTCAACATGCTTCCGATCTTAATAAGTTTAAAATACCACCGCCACAGCGAACCTGCAGCGAATTTCCATTTGCCTGGTTGGATTGCCACTTATATATTTTCTCCAAACTGTATGAAATCCTATTATTATTACTATTACTCAATTGCATACCTACCTTGCCTAAAAGCTTTGGAATGCCTATACATTAGCCTATATACGTCCCCCAAAGCATACACACACAAAATCTTTATACTGTAATGCGAAAAACAAATTGCAAACGTAAGGTAAGCTAACGTAGATAAGGCGGAATAAAACGGGATATCATATAGGGCAGCGCGGGATATAAGGGAAAAGGGATCCACACGCGAGTAGAGGGAGGGGAGTGAGACGACACTGAGACTGAGTTGTTTGTTGTTTAGTTAGTTAGTTAGATGCGGTCGTGGGAATCAGTCGACAGTTAGCGCGTCACAGCCAAGCCATGGATCTGATATACATGACAGATGTAATGGCTTATCAGAGCATAAGAGGACCAGTGTACAACAACTATGATATACAGATCAACAGTAAGTCTCTAGTGCAATTGCAACATTTATCTGTACCTATACTCTGATCAAACATTTGTTTATAGCACAGTACATATACAGCTCAAGTGTAAAATAATATAGTAATTGGATAATATTTTACGATCCTTAGCATTTCAATAATTTGAGAATATAATTATATTTAGTAAAATAAAAATACGTACAATTGTATTGTGGGGATTCTTTAATTCTTAAAATACAAAAATTAATTTGATATAAATTGATCGAACGTTTAAAACTAAATGTAATCAGTTTGCGTTATAAATCCATTCCGTACTGAAGGTACGGTGTAGGTAAGCATTCGTAAACCTTAACAGGAAAACCTGGTTTCCTCATGTTTTTTCCTTACATTAATGAGAGTTTTTCCTTATTCCGATGATTTACAAGTTAGCTATATATTTCTTTCAATAAAACGCAAATTGCGTTTGAAATTTGACTGAGCCATATAAGAATCTAAGAAATATAATTCTAAATTATATTTGTGGCCATTTTTAGCGAATTTCCCATGTCAAGCTATTACCGTAGGTCTCATGGTAAGACCTGGACCCAGGACCGATTTACTTTTTCGTTTTGAGGTCTCCAGGGGCTAAAAACAACATCCTTTCAAATTCATATAAATATATTTATAATTTTATATGTCTGTAACTTTATATGCGTCCGTTAGCACAACTCGAGCAAAAATCATCCGTTTTTAATGAAATTTTGTCTAGTTCGCGAATCAGCATGATCGGACTAAGGGAACAGTTCAACTTCTTTCCAAACCAATATAGAGCTAAAAAAAAACAAATGATTTGGTATACTGAATCATCGTTGTATGCCTAACGGTTACGGAAAAAATCCCAAAAAGTTAAACTTCAAAATGACCATGTTATTCGTATGGGGAATAAATAAACCGTTGTAGCTTGCTTGTCTGTAGACATATTTGAATGAAAATTTGAAAATGTGTTAACTTCATACTAAGCTATCAATATTTCAATAAAAACGCAAATGATTGTCTTCCTTACAGCATAAAACCTAAGTACTCATTATAACTTATGATGATATCGGACAATGCTCGAGCTAAAGAGACTACACAGAACACCGTAAAATGTTTACGCATAGTGATTAAAAGTGAATGAAAACAAAAATGTGTTAAACTATCAATAGAAGCGTCTTGCATGCATGCAGAACAATAATCACCTACAGTACACCACACAGTGTAGCGATACAGTATCTATCAAGGACGCTGTGTTCCTCGATCGCCTTGATAAAAATAAACGTTTCCGACGAAAAGAAATTTGATGGGAGACACTGGCGAAAGTCAACTCGATTCGTAGCATTGAAGACTAATTCGGTCGAGACGATCGTATAGAATTCTAAAATCTTCCACTTCCCCGTTCTAATAGGTTCAACCATACCTGCATTTTATTCTTTTCGTTTGCATCACGTAACAGTTACACAACTGTTGACAACGGAAACTAACACAGTGATATTTATTGAACTTCATATTTACAGTGTAATTAAGATACTGGGAAGTTGTGATTGTTGTAGATGTACGATACTGGCGCTGTTAATTACCTACTCGTTTGAGGAGAATGCCATTCCGAATTTCAAACTCATAAAGTCTATAAGGACAAGTACACAAATTCTAAACGAACTTATACGTTTGCTTACAGTCGTTTACGATAACAATAGTTTTGTTTGATGAGAGAAATGCAATCTGAAGGCAACCAATTGGACAATAAACCTGACCGATAATGTCGTCCAAGTTTGTCTTCAAACTATTTACAACTATGTAGGCTATTAAAACTCAATGTCTCAAATCCAACTTTGATCACATTATAGGTCAAATCCAAGGTCGTGGATTTTCCAAGTCCATGAATGAATCTGAAAATTACTACTCTCTATGCCTACTAACTGGTAGAATGTCCGATCGATGCCTTAGCTAATTTAGACGTGGATTCGGCGGTGCGGCGTGAAATTCCATCAACCGTCAACCCCTAAGGACAATAGAAATAGAAGACTAGAAATAGAAATAGAAGACTGAATCAACCAGTGATTCAGTTCAGAATCAACCTGAGCTGCGTCTACAGGTAAATGCGCACCAGACATTGTCCTTGACCGGTGTATGTGTGTGTGTGTGACGAGCCCCCGAGCTGTCCGATATAAATAGCCCGATGTAAACAACACGTAGTGGCTCTGCGAGATGCGTAGACACAAACAACACGGCGAGTTTGTATTTAGTTTTTGTCATAGTAGTGACAATATATTTAAATTCCATAATGGAGACACCTATTTAATAAAAACCCGTCCTGGCAATACTACTATGATGTACTATGGATTTGTTATCTTCGATTGCCTATTTCAAATCTAGAGTTCCAAGATAACGATTCACATAAAAAATGAAATGTTAATTTGTAGTACAGATTGAATTTTTTTTAACAACCGGTATTTTCAGGTTTCCGTTAATTCGACCACACTA